ATTAACTATAGACTTCGGAATTCCCCAGTGGTTAATGTAATCCAACATTCCTGACGTCAGAACCTGCAAACTCATGTTATCGCCTCAGTGCATATAACTTAGAAAGAATAGTGCATTGCAATATAGAAACCTATACGATTAACATTGATTCGAAGATGATCATATAACTCGTTATCTGCTAACGATGCATATATTTTCCAGATATATTTCGCAACTATCGAATATCATACATTTTTTAATATCTGATAAAACGGTAAACAAATTGATTATATAATTAGTGTGCGGTAGATATACTACAAAAATAGATTATGTAGTAACAATTTGATGTATTTAATGTATTTGAAGTAGTTTTGATGTACTTTATATTAGGGGTACCGAAAAGTAATCAAAATTTTGTTTCCTGGCGAAAAATATTTATTTATTTCAGAAATCTTAAATCAACAAAATAATTTCCATCACTTTCTAACGCTTTTTGTCAGCGTAAAGGCAATTGTTCCTTCGTAAAAAAAGTCCTTCGAGTTTACATAGAAAAGTGTTGAATCATCGAAGAAATTTTGATTACTTTTCGGTACCCCTAATATATTGGAGATAAAAGTAATATAAGAGCGATACACGAATTAGCATTAACATTTGTCTCCATCTAGCGATGTTAATCATCATTGTTTGTTCCTTCTTGTATTCGCATGTTTCGATTCAATTTTGTTCTCTTTATATTCCTCTCACGTAATTCTGATTATATTTTATATCGTTCTTGAATAAATAGTTTTTCTGTTTTGTACATAATTAATTACGACACTTTATTCGTCCACGGATCTCCTCACCTTCAACATAATATATAGCATGATATAAAAATATTTTGACTGTGTATGTGTGAATTTTATAATAAATATTTAGTAGATGTGATATGTATACGTATGATATAAATGGATAAATAAATGTAGCAGAGAATTGTGTTCAATGAGAACTGATTTATTCAATATTTGATGCAAATATTTGATATAAATTATTCAATATTTAATACACATATTTAATATTTAGTGCACATGTTTAATATAAATTATTCAATATTTACTGCACATATTTAATATAAATTATTTAATAATTGATACAAATGTTTGACACAAATTATTCAATGTTTAGTATAGATATTTGATATAAAATATTCAATATTTAATACACATATTTTATATAAGTTATTTAATAATTAATACACATATTTACTATGTGTTATTTAATAATCGATACAAATTATTTGATATTTATTACAAATATTTAATACAAATTATTTAATATTTAGTACAATCAGTACAGACACAGTTGATACAAATTTATGATGTTTATTATCTTCGTATATACTCATCTTATAAAAATTTGAAACATTTCTGACATTAAAATGATTATAATTTTATTTTGAAGTAAGATAAAAACAGAAGAAGAAAACTAATGATTAAGTTATTTTAAGATCATTGTAAGATTACTGTAATTTTACTGTTATTTTAAGATCACTGTCATTTTTAAGATTATTTATTGTTTTCATTCTTCAGTCTCTGATTATGGTTGATCTACTACATTTTCTCTTTCTAAAAACAATTACAAAGGACATTTTGAATTACCATTTACCAACATTTTTGTTTTAAATAAAATGATTCTTCAATTTTTATTTCACATCATTTATCTCCACTCCATAAAATATAAAATTATATTTTTTCATCGATAACAGAAAAATGAAAGTTAAATGATACATTAAAACATGAAGAATTCATATGGATTATTCTACACTGATTTTAAAACAGTATGACTAACTTGATTTTTAAAACAATACGATATTATTTTAAAATAATGGTTTCATTCGAAGGAAAATATTCTATATTTTCGTAGCTCGGTTAATATTTTTCTTGAAAAAGTAACATAACTTATGTACCTATCGTACGATGAAGCGTTATATTAATATTGACAATATGCGCAAGAGTGTTGACCTTGACCATCAGTCTCCATGCGGAACGCTTTAGTGAAGACGTCAAGGTTTAAATTCAACTTTCAATCTTTAGAAACTGTTTTTAGCATTCGATTTTCGAATAAAAATCAATTAAACCTTTTTTGTTAAATGAATTTTTAAAAATTAGATGCCTTTTTAAAACTTGTTACATGACTTTTTCACTGACAATTTTGTAAACAATTAGATAGTTGTACAAGAAATAAATTTTAGACAGGTGCACAAGAAATAAATTGTAGACAGTTGTACAAGAAATAAATTTTAGATAGTTGTACAAGAAATAAATGTTATGCAGATGATTCCACAAGAAATAAACTTAATCTAGATGACTGTACAAAAAATCAGCTTGATTTAGATAACAGTGTCAAATGTGAATTTAATTTAGAAAAATGTACAAGGCATAAGTGTGATATAGAGAAGTGTGCAGAAAATGTATTTGATCTAGAATAACTGCACAAGGAGTGAAATTCATTTAGAATATCTATATAAGAAATAAACTTGCTACAGATAATTACACAACGAACTTAATCTAAATAAGTACAGCAGAAATAAACTTGATCCAAATAACTGCAAATCGAAGTAAATTAAACTTGATCCCAATAACTGCAAATCCAAATAAATCAAACTTGATCCAAATAAATGAAACTTAATCCGAATAACTGCAAATCCAAATAAATCAAACTTGATCCAAATAAATGAAACTTAATCCGAATAACTGCAAATCCAAATAAATCAAACTTGATCCAAATAAATGAAACTTAATCCGAATAACTGCAAATCCAAATAAATCAAACTTGATCCAAATAAATGAAACTTAATCCGAATAACTGCAAATCCAAATAAATCAAACTTGATCCAAATAAATGAAACTTAATCCGAATAACTGCAAATCCAAATAAATCAAACTTGATCCAAATAAATGAAACTTAATCCGAATAACTGCAAATCCAAATAAATCAAACTTGATCCAAATAAATGAAACTTAATCCGAATAACTGCAAATCCAAATAAATCAAACTTGATCCAAATAAATGAAACTTAATCCGAATAACTGCAAATCCAAATAAATCAAACTTGATCCAAATAAATGAAACTTAATCCGAATAACTGCAAATCCAAATAAATCAAACTTGATCCAAATAAATGAAACTTAATCCGAATAACTGCAAATCCAAATAAATCAAACTTGATCCAAATAAATGAAACTTAATCCGAATAACTGCAAATCCAAATAAATCAAACTTGATCCAAATAAATGAAACTTAATCCGAATAACTGCAAATCCAAATAAATCAAACTTGATCCAAATAAATGAAACTTAATCCGAATAACTGCAAATCCAAATAAATCAAACTTGATCCAAATAAATGAAACTTAATCCGAATAACTGCAAATCCAAATAAATCAAACTTGATCCAAATAAATGAAACTTAATCCGAATAACTGCAAATCCAAATAAATCAAACTTGATCCAAATAAATGAAACTTAATCCGAATAACTGCAAATCCAAATAAATCAAACTTGATCCAAATAAATGAAACTTAATCCGAATAACTGCAAATCCAAATAAATCAAACTTGATCCAAATAAATGAAACTTAATCCGAATAACTGCAAATCCAAATAAATCAAACTTGATCCAAATAAATGAAACTTAATCCGAATAACTGCAAATCCAAATAAATCAAACTTGATCCAAATAAATGAAACTTAATCCGAATAACTGCAAATCCAAATAAATCAAACTTGATCCAAATAAATGAAACTTAATCCGAATAACTGCAAATCCAAATAAATCAAACTTGATCCAAATAAATGAAACTTAATCCGAATAACTGCAAATCCAAATAAATCAAACTTGATCCAAATAAATGAAACTTAATCCGAATAACTGCAAATCCAAATAAATCAAACTTGATCCAAATAAATGAAACTTAATCCGAATAACTGCAAATCCAAATAAATCAAACTTGATCCAAATAAATGAAACTTAATCCGAATAACTGCAAATCCAAATAAATCAAACTTGATCCAAATAAATGAAACTTAATCCGAATAACTGCAAATCCAAATAAATCAATCTTGATCCAAATAACTGCAAATTCAAGTAAATCAAACTTGATCTAAATAACTGCAAATCCAAGTAAATGAAACTTAATCCAAATAACTGCAAATCCAAATAAATCAAACTTGATCCAAATAAATGAAACTTAATCCGAATAACTGCAAATCCAAATAAATCAAACTTGACGCAGACAACAATAAAAATAAATTAGATGCAGTAAACTCAATACAGATAATTCCACAAGACCAGTTCCAAAAATCTTCACAAGACAACTTCACAAAAAATGCAGATAACACTAGAAAAAGACTTAATCCACTTGATTTACATAACTACACAAGAAGTTCCGGATGTGCGATCCAAATAGCACTGTTAACCTAGAACTCCATTGAACAGCACGGAGCTAACCACGGATTAATCCCGTAAATTTGGAAAACTATGCCGTCAAGATTTCCATTATATTTATCGAGGAAGGTATTATTTAGCCATGGGTTCTTTTATTTCCCTCGGGAGTTGTCGAAAGTGTCGGAAGACAGGAAAGGTGTTGGCTTCGAAAACGTAGTCTCCTCACGATCAGACTAGTTCTTTAAGAGATGATCACCGGCTGCCTCGGATTAATCCCTCCTCTGGTGATTTTCCCCTTTCCTCTCCTTAAAACGGACGACACGTTTGAAGGCGATACGTACCTCCATCTTCCTTCCACCTCTTTGGCTTCAATCCTTACCGGAGCCTGGCGTAGATTAACTTTTGATACGCCGGCCTCACAGTCTCCGTTGGAAGCTCGATTCATAAACGCGGGACACCATCCTGTGTGTTTTTGATTATCAAATTTCTATTAGTGACAGTGAATTACTTGTGGAGCTAGCAACTTCACGGTCTAACCAGCTGCACCAGGAGAACAAAGGATCGGGTGGTAACTGAAGAACAGAAGGGGAAATAAACGAGCAAACGTGAGTGTAAAGTAATCGTTAATCTTGTTGCCGGTGAGAGCGTGCAAAGTGTAAGTTTAATCTAAATTATGTAAAACGGTTTGCCTGGCTGGTAAGCAGACATTTTAGGGCATCTGTTTCCCGCTTAAAACGTTACCGCAACTTTATTCACAATTTCGGGCTTATTTACTGCGTGCCGCACGTGAAATTGGTTGCGTTAGGTTAGGTTGGTGTTTGGTTATGCTGTATTGTTACGATTCCCTTGTTTTTCGGTAGTTATTGTGATGGTTAGGTGCATTCTCATATTTATAAATTTAGTTTGCATGGTTAGGTGCGTTTTCATATTTATAAATTTAGTTTGCATGGTTAGGTACATTTTTATATTTATAAATTTAGTTTGCATGGTTAGGTATATTTTTATATTTATAAATTTAGTTTGTATAGTTTCGAATTTTTGTTTTTTTTTTAATTTTGAAATTTGAACCTTTGCATTATTAGACATAAAAATCAAGATTTCTGTAAATTCTCAAGTTTGATAAATTTCTATTTTCAATTGTAAAAATTCTCAAATAATACAAGTTTATATATTCACACAAATTTTAGGTATAAAAATTTACAAATTTCTAAAATGGTTAAATAATTAAGTTCATAAATTGTCAAGTTTCTCAAATATCCAAGTGTATAAATCTCCTAATGTCACACATCCAAATCCACAAGTTTCAATAATTCTCAAGTATGCAAATCCATAAAGTTCCACATATGTCACACATCCAAATCCACAAGTTTTAATAATTCTCAAGTATGCAAATTTATATAGTTCCATATATGTCACACATCCAAATCCACAAGTTTTAATAATTCTCAAGTATGCAAATTTATAAAATTCCACATATGTCACATATCCAAATCCACAAGTTTTAATAACTCTCAAGTATGCAAATCCATAAAGTTCCACATATGTCACATATCCAAATCCACAAGTTTTAATAATTCTCAAATATGCAAATTTATAAAGTTCCACATATGTCACATATCCAAATCCACAAATTTTAATAATAGTCAAGTATGCAAATTTATAAAGTTCCACATATGTCACATATCCAAATCCACAAGTTTTAATAATTCTCAAATATCCAAATCTATAAAGTTCCACATATGTCACATATCCAAATCCACAAGTTTCACTAATTCTAAAATACTGAAATCTATAAAGTCCCACATATGTCACATATCAAATTCCATAAATTTCACAAACTCTCAAGTGTCCAAATTCATTACATCTCAAATACGTCACACATTCAAATCCACAAATTTCACTAATTCTCCAAATGCAAAAATTTCCAAATATGTCACAAGTCCACAAAGTTCCAAATATCTCCAACATCCAAAAACACAAATTTCCAAATATCTCCAATATCCAAACACCCAACTTTCCCAACTTCCCAACCAATAAATTGTCCATAAATCAAACCAGCACAAGTAATAAACGCAATATAAGGTAACTCGATCTAAATGCGAGTAAGCTCCAAATAATTCATCATGTTTGTTAGCACACCGATCCGTATTTTTCATCGAATGTAACGCGAAACGGTTCATATCGTCGTCAGAACGTTTCATCGATCATATCGCCGTTTCTCGAAGCGACGTGAAACATTCTTTCGTGACATAAACACGTCCTCGTTGATTCATGACTAATGATCAAATCAAATATGTCATAAGTGGCTAATATAAGACCATAACGTTTATAAATACATACTGATAAATTGTACTACGTCTTCGAAAGTAAAAGCAGGGAAAAACTTGGGTTATAATGATAATTGATATCAACACAGTATTTAATGGTGTGTTTATTGGGTTTCATGATGTTGACATGCTTCATTGAAATCTTAAGCAAAACGTAGAGATTGCGAATTATCGGAGCAGTTCTTAATTCGAATACTACATAATAATTGATGTTTAATTCATAATGAAATATTCTTTAATTAATTTAGTGATCTGAGATCTTATAAAAAATTTAAGGTCAATTTTTTATTCCAATTTTTTAAATTAATGATTAAATGCATACTTTAATGGAACACATATCATATTTACTTAGTTGTTCCTATTATATTTATTACATATTACATTTATTATTCTTCATATTACATTTTACAGTAAATGTACTGTAAATTGTAGTTTTTATTTATAAATGAATATTCTTTGTAAATTACAAATTTTATGCACCAACAATTATTTTATAAATTATAGTTCTTATTTACGAATGAATTTATTGTAACTTGCTATTTTTATTTATCAATAATTACGTTATAAATTATAGTTCTTATTCCCAAATGAATATATAGTAACTTACAATTATTATTCACAAGTAATTGTATTATAAATTACAATTTTTTTGCACCAACAATTATTTTATAAATTATAGTTCTTATTTATGAATGAATTTATTGTAACTTACTATTTTTATTTATCAATAATTACGTTATAAATATAGTTCTTATTCCCAAATGAATATATAGTAACTTACAATCTTTATTCACAAATAATTATAATATAAATTACAATTTTTATTTCCACTGAATACACAGTAAATTATAGTCTTCATTAACCAATGACTCCATATTGAAGTACCATATTAAATTTCTATTAATAAATTACAATTTGTATTCACCAATGAATATATTTTAAATTTTTATGTTCCAATGTATTTTAAAATGCAGCAACACAATAGGCATAATTCTTCATAAGACACTAAATCAAACAATTTAAAAATAGGAAGACTATCCTAATATCCTCTCCGCGTACAATTCAAGTTGAATACATTCAGAAGCTACGATAGTGTATCGCTATTCAACAGAGCAAGGGTTGTAAATTACTGTAAGGGCCATTATGCGTTTATATAACGAATGTCGTGTGCACGATTTTCAACGGGAATTCCAAAAAAAGGAACAGAAGAATTGTCCTGTAGCAAATTCCCATCTCCCGCAGGAGTTACAAAATTAATTGCTATCTACACGCAATAAATTGCGAGGGAACGCGCACGACGACAATGATAATGTAAAAGCCAGGCGTGCTCTATCTTCTTGAAGCGTCGGTCATTGCATTGTCCGGGAAACTTGAAAACTTACTCTTAAAATTATTGCGATACCTGGGGGAACTAGATACATATCGTTTCTCTCTTCTTGCGAATTTCAGATCGTCGTGACAGATGTGCATATTTTTTTTTTTAACTCTGATCCACCTATTGTCAATCTTCAGATAACATTTCTGGTACATTTAGAGTAATTAATGGTATATTTAGGGTGAAATTTCTGGACAAACATTGTACACTATATATGAGAATATCAACTCTTCAAAATTTGAAGTTTCTCTCATTACTTTGCCATAATTTAGACTAGTCTGATTCGTGACGCAATTGAATTTCATCAATTTTAATTTAAGGTAAAATTTCACTTTGGAATATGATTTCTAATAATAATTTCTGTCAAATTTGAAGTAAAATTTCTAGATAAACATTGTACACTAGGTATGAGAATATCAACTCTTCAAAATTTGAAGTTTCTTTTATTCCTTCGCCACATTTTAACTAATCTCGTGACGCACTCATGACGCACTCGTGAATTTCATAAATTTTAATAATGGTCACTCGAATTCTTAAAATGCATCAGTTTGAAGTTTCTTTTCTTCCTTTGCCATATTTTGACTAGTCTCACTCGTGACGCACTCATGACGCACTCGAGAATTTCATAAATTTTAATAATGGTCACTCAAATTTTTAAAATGCATCAGTTTGAAGTTTCTTTTCTTACTTTGCCATATTTTGACTAGTCTCACTCGTGACGCACTCATGACGCACTCGAGAATTTCATTAATTTTAATAATGATCACTCGAATTTTTAAAATGCATCAGTTTGAAGTTTAAGTGCAACTATAACTAAAGTGGTGAAGCATCATTCTATACAAAATGGACGTAACATATTAATTTTATATTAATTGATTTTAATGTTCTAGCATTAAACAGTTAATTCCACCTGACGCATTTGATAAATAAGTTACACAAAAGATTTAGTATATTACCAGATAAATTACTTGTAATTACTATATTAAACTTGTAAGACTATATTAAACTTGTAATCCGAAAAGGAAGATTATATTTTAATGTGAAGCTCCATGAAAAATTGTACTTTCCTCCATTCTAAATAATTAAAACTATTTAACTTAGTAAGTCCTCCTGATACAACAGAAGTATTTAATAAATGTCTCTCCTATTTCAAAACGCCCATTAAGTATCCCCCAATGCGCAAATTAATTAAATTAATAGAAAGGTTTGACATTTCCCAAGAGTCAGACATCATTAACCACACGTGACATATCATGTGAGATTATAGCGCGCGCAGTTTGAAACGCGTAACTTCGACAGATCGGTAAATCGTTTATCTGTATCAAATGTAATGAATAAATTAATAATTAATACTAGTTTCCACATGTGATTATACATCTCTTGATTCTACAGATATTACTTCATTGATTAGTTTCATAAATCATTCGACATTTATTTCTGCAACAGCAAACGTGATTAATTAATTAGTATTGATATCTACTCTCTGAACTGTAACGTTAATATCATGCGTGAAGTAATCGAAACTAGCGCAGTAATAGGTATTTGAGAACTAATTCTCAGATTCGCTCGGGAGTACGTGCATAACGTGTATACAGATTTCGTTCATTAATTTTGTGAAATGGAGTTTGAGAATTTGAGAAATTTGAAATTTTGAAAGTTTTTGGATTCTTAAGTTTGGGCAATTTTGCAATTTCGATAGATAGATATTTGCAACTTCGATAGTTAGATATTTAAGGATTCAATTTGGGGTTTGGGGAACAATTTGGAGATTTTAGGGATTTGAGATGTTGAGAACTTGGAAAATTGTTAAGTTGTGAATTTAGAGGTTTGGGAAGATGGAAAGTAGAGGTTTTTATTATTGGAAAATTTGAGGATTAGAAATTTGGGAATTTGAAGAGTTTAAAGTTTGAGAGTTTGGAAATTTGAGGATATTAAATTTTGAAAATTTGGGAA